CCTGGCTATTACATTTTTTAAATTTCCAATCAGAGGCACTTAAGCTGAAACTCTGAGGTGTAGCTGCCCTTTAAATGAAATTTAAAAAGCCACTCAGTTACGTAACATAACATAACATACGTAAATGTCATGAGTTACCTTTCACCCTTGTTGATTCAGACTTTTTTAGTGTTTTTCGGTGCCTCCATGATCTGTTTCTACTTCATCTGCTTGCTTGTATCACACTGATTTCTTGCCTTGGTGTTGGTTTACCTGAAGGGAAAGAGGAACCACTGCATGTGCCTTGGATAAATTATGCAATTTATAAATCTGTGTACAACCAAAAGTTGTTTTCTTGGCCTGTTGTTTACAGGTGCTTCTTGGGCGGCAACCCCCAGACGGGCTGGAAGTGGCAGCAGCGCCGCGCTCTGAGCCCGGGCGTGAGCACTCTGCTACGGACACTTGTGGACTTTGAGTGGCTGTCAATGTGCAAAAATCAGAGTTCTAATGTTTTTCAGTGTTTTTAAGATTGAGGACACCTCCAAGGTACTTATTTTAGTTTTTTCGTGCTCATGTTTTGAACCGTTCAGTAAAGTTTAAAAGGACTAAAAGGTTAAAATGGCTGTTGTGTTTGTTCTCATTTTTATTGAGCAGACCCAAAGCATGTTTTTAAAAGTAAAAAACAGAAAAATCACGGTTACCACGTCAAATTTACAATATGTTACAGTATTATTATTCGGGTCCGAGCACCCAAAAGGGTGCGAAGACCCTATTGGAACTGCTCGGATTCTTATTATTATTATTTGTGACAAAGAAACACGTTTTTGAAGCCCTAAACATACTCGAAAACTCACCAAAATCACCACACACATCAGACCCGGCAAAAAATGTTAGAATTTGGAAGAAAAATTCACACCTCACTACAGAAATTGCTCCATAGCGCCATCTTGAAAATTTCAATGGAGTCCTGTCGGAAGCATGTTTGCTCTAGAGCTACGCAATTACATAGGCATATAGAGCTGGTTGGCACGAACAAAAAAATCTGCTGGACCAAGGTCTAAAATGCAACACAGCTCAACTGCGCCCCCTACAATATTTCTACAGAGTCCCA